ATTTCATTTTAAACGGGTGGCCAAGAAAATATTCTCTTAATAATATATATATATATATATTATTATATTATTATATACATAATAATATATATTATATACATAATAATAATATATATATACATAATTAATAATATATATATATATTATTAATTGGATCCACGTATTTTAGACAACAATGAAATTTTCTATACCTAAATATAAACGTTATACGCGTATTATCTCGCTATCTCAGAAATTGATTGAAATATCTTTTTATTTTTACTTTGCTAAAACTGTAACAAAGGCATTGATCTCGTATTTATGGAAGAATTTTATATTTTTACATAAGAATATGAATAATGAGTTTTCATATTTTTATTTTTATCTTGAATTTTCTCTGCTTTCTAAAATGAATTTGAAAAGTTAACTGTTAATTTTTATAGTTAGTATTAATCATTCGGCGTTAACTATTTTTGGCAGAAGTATGTGGTTTTTATGATGTGGTTAGTATTGAGGATTTTATTATTGTTTAGGGAGAACTAAATCTTGTACATTACATTATAGTTTAAACATAATTTAGATCCAGACTGTTTGTTATAATAATATTTGCTGAAAATTATATATCTTTTTCAGGGAATGATAAAATTAATTATATCTACTTTAAAAATGTTACAACTTAAAAATTAGTCATTACTGTTGTAAATAAATTTATTTGCTCAAGAAAACGATCTAATTATTTTAAATTATAGTTTGCTGAATAGCTATAAACAAATATGCCACATGAAATAGAATTTTATAGTTCGACTAATTTAATTTCATTATTTAGTAAAATAGGTAGATACTATTAAATTAAGTAATTTCAACTATTTTCTTCTCAACTTTGATATAATTTCATTTATTTTGAGATAGTATTTATTGAAGTAATAATACATAAAGAATTGTATTCAAAAAATTTTAATAAAGAAATAATTTTTGTAATAAATAGTATCACTTTAAAGTGGGACATTTTTAAATAGTCTCATTTGATTCAAATTAAAACTTTTATAAATACTCTTAGTCATTGGAAAACGTAGTCATTAAAGATTTTTTTTAAATTAAACTTCTTCTTAAGACATACTTCAAAATATAATTACTAGTAATTCATGAAATATAATAAAATATAATATAATAATTTCGGAAATGTTTGTGTGCCATAATTTTCAAAATGATAATTTTTTGCGACCCACTTATTTTCAATGCATTGTTCCGAATGTTAAAAATTAAAAAAGTCCGGGACTCAACAATTTTTAGAATTTTAAATTGTCCAAACCTACAGTCACAAAATTCAAAAATGTAAAAATCCTGATATACTAAAATCCCAAAGTCGCATAGTCTCACATTCTAAAAATATAACACTCTATAAATATTAAAAATTCTCGAAATTCTAGAATATTAAAACGGATAAAGTTTCGGAATTTTAAAGTCAACATTTCAACGTCCCAATAACTTAAATTACAAAAATTTCTCAACCAGATAATCTTATATTTCGGAAATCATAACAACTTAAAAGTCCCATATTTCATAAGTTCCAAAATTTCAATATTCCAATTTCCCAAAGTTCAGAAACTCCAACAGGCAAAAATCCCGAAGTTCCATAAATTCTAAATTTCCATGACTGCTATTTCGAAAATAACAATTTTTCGCAAATCATCCACTCAAAATGTACATTTAAAAATGAAAGATTTTCAAAACTTTAAATATCGCTGTATTGCTTACAAATTTCTGACACCTTTATAAATATAAAAATCGATCCCATACATTCACAATGCATATTTAAAAATAAAATAAAAATTTCTTTTTAATGAAAGATTATCCTAATACAAAATATCGCTACACTGTGTAAAAATTTCTCATATTTCAGTAAGTATAAAAATCGACTCATTTGGTTATAATAGATATTTAACACTAGATTTGCAGACCTTCGATGACCATTTACTTAGAGTTTTTGACGTAGAAAAAATAAATAAAGTATAATACGTAAGCTAGCTTATATGTTTGTCTAACTAATTAAAAACTGACATTCTGACAAAAGTTTCTTGACACTCTTTACAATTCAAAATAATAAATGCAAGATAAATTTTTTAACGAGTTCCGTAAATCCATTGTCAAAAATATCAAGTAGAAAAATTATCGCTATACTGCTAACAAATTCCTTATACTTCAATAAATATAAAAATCTGCTTACCCAAAAGTGCTCTGAGTCCCCAGCAATGTATAACCTCGTTTCAAGAATCTCTAATCTATCGTAACACCTATTCACCCTCCGTGCCATCTGCAAGTTCCACGCTTTCCGTTTTCTTTCTCTTCCAACACTTCCTAACTAAACCTACAAATTTTGCCGAATCGTATTATTATTCGAGGCACCGTGGAACTATCGGGTTCACGGTGTTGTACGCAGGGAAAATATGCAAGTCGTTCTGACAAGGGTAGAGAGCCGTTCGAGTTCTCGAAGATTCGGCTGCTTTAGCAGCCCGAAGCCCGAACTTCTGAAATGGCTGCCCGAGCGAACGACGGTTCTGCGATCACGTACGTTTTCGCGTAGCTTCACGCACGTAAGTTCGAGGGAAGGCCACGAGGGAAGCCGGGACGTGCATTCGAGCGGCTCGATTTCGCGGCGAAAATTTACGTCGTGGCTGCACAGGGAATTCCATGGCTTCGCGGCACCGTCTCCCTTCGTCTACGGGATGGGTTTTTGCTTTTTAGCCACGTGGAGCGTAAGGTGCGGTTTCATTCGACCTGGTTGCCCGTCCCTTTGGACGAACGTAGAAAACAGGGCAGAGGGAGAGTTTGCTTTGCTCGAACGATACCTGTTCCAGCTAGATCCCTTTTGCAACCCCTTCGCGGCTCTATTCACGGTATTCAACCGCCTACTTTTTATTACCCGGTAATTAATTGTAATGGGAGTTCCAAACCAGGAAATGAATGGTTTCGCTACTTCTTTATCGATTTTTGTCATACTTGTTTCCGTATTTGTTGAGTCAAAATAATCTGCGGAATGTGTACTTTCACAGAATTCAGTCTAGCCAGAAAAATATAAGGTTTAGTTTTCATCTAAATTATTTTTAATCTTATCAGAGAAATACAGGGTTCAGTTACTCATCTAAATTAGTTTCAATCTTGTCAGCAAAATACAGGGTTGAGCTACTCGTCTAACTTATTTTCAGTCTTCTCGGAAAAATACAGGATTTAGTTACTCATCTAAATTATTTTCAGTCTTGTCAAAAAAATGCAGGGTTGACTTACACGTTTAAATTATTTTTAGTCTTCTTAGAAAAATACCGAGTTAAGTTACACATTTAAATGATCTGCACTATAATTAAAAGTAGGAAAAGGTGAAGGATGGAGGTTATATAATTTTAGAATTCGTTTTAACGTTACTGAATGTGTTTTGGAACTATATCATCTTTCAGTTGTTTATTTATACTTTTAATGATGATACAGTTAATTCAGATGTCTAAATTAAGTGAGGTACAGTGTGTAATTGTATATAGAATAATTACAATAATTATATACCGTAATACATCGTTGAAATTGTAAAAAATGGAATGCGGAAATGAACAACTTAATTTTTGTGAAAAAATTATTTTTTCCAAAAAGTTTACATAGATTTGCAGGCCTTAAGAAACAGTATAACTTTTGTTTCAAATATGTTTCAATATCTTCCGTCGTTTATAATTTATAAGCATGTACATAAACGAGATGTAAGGGTTGATTTTTTCTTATGTAATTTAAATTTAAAATATCGTTCAAATAACATACAAATAGGAAATTGTAAACTATAATTATCATTATTTATTATTGCCTTAAATCATGTGAGATTTATACGGCAGTTTTAAAGTACATTATAATTATTTTACAGTAGGTATAATAGTACATGTAGTGCAATGGATCAATACATTAGTTAGATTACATTAATTCGTATGTAAATTCTACAGAAGTAAATACAAATTAAAAAATAAGAAAAGAAAAATACAATTATTCATTAATGCCACAATGTTAACAGATAAATTCTTAAACTATACTTAAATTCTTAAGGAACACTGTTTCAGGAAATTAAAAATAATACGTAAACCACTAATATCGGGACCAAATAAAAAAGAGCGAATGCTAAGAGGAAAGCGGAACCCGCGCCTGAGAAGTAGTCTTCGCAGCAGTTTGCGCTTATCCTCGTAATCTGGGCATTGCCAGATGACGTGGTCCAGATTTTCAAATTCCGCTCCACACCTACACTTACTGTTGAAAATAAAATTAATTTTGGTTAATGAGGCGTTTAAATTATAATGGTCGGAACGGCATCTATTAACAAAAGTTATAAAATCTCTAGTAAGCTCGCGCCCAGTAAACTACGGCTTACCCCTGTCTTTGTGAAAATAACGAAAAAAATTGATACCTTTAAAAAAACCTTGCTTTTTAATATAATTATTAGTGAGTACCTTTGCTTGAATTTTAAAGCCACAGAGTAAATCAGTAAGTGGAACTTTGTTATCTGGGGAAGGCATTTCACCCGCCGCTTCTCTTGCGGGGAGTCCGCCTTTTCGTTACCGCTAATTCCGATATGTGCTGGAATCCAAATAAACTTGATAAAATTTTGATTATTACTATTAGAAACAAAGGTGGCATATTTAGTTTTAATTTCAGTAAGATGAATATTTTTATTATAGTGAAAAACTGGTTTTTGCAGTGATTTAATTGCGCTTAGAGAATCAGAAGCAATAAGGAAATTTACCCTAGTATGAGACATGATCACATCTAACGCTCGATTAATGGCACAGCATTCTGCTGTGAAGATTGACACTCTTGAATTTATGCTAATTTTTTGTGAAATATTAAGTTGTGGACAGTAGATTCCAGCACCTACCGATTGGGAGTTCCCTATTTTGTTCTCATCTGTGTAAATTACAATACTCTCTTCGTAAAAAATATAATTATAATTATATATATTAGAAAAGTAGTTTTACAATAAATTTTTCGTTTTGTTACAGATCGACCCGAAGGTAGCGTTTCCCAGGAGAACACACCCAAAGGTAAGAAAATAGAGTTCGCTTTTAAGCAAAGACACCGAATCCGCGAGAGACGACAATCGTCACGCTCGAACCATCTCCTGATCCGCCGACGGTTCCTTTCACGCATGAGAAAGTCCTTTGGCCGAAAAGTCAGGTGCTAAAAGATAAGCCAGACTGCGGACAGGAAGTAGCTAAGGGGCAGACGCGAGCTTTGAAAGTCGACTAACGAAAGAAGGGAGATAGGAAGGGGTTTGTACAGCGAGGGAGAAGGGAACAGACGAGGGAGAAGGATCGCGTCTGAAGAGGGAATAATAAAGAGCCCTCTCTGGTTCTCGTAATAAGAGCAATTAGATGTAATTCATTTCGAAACCCGGAATTATTTTCTTCCCGCTCTAACGGGCCGTTAGTCACGGCCGAAACTGCTTGCCGCGAAACTCTGAAACGTACACTCGGGTGCAATGCTTAATTTCATTCGCGTGAGGACACATATGCAAATTTGACAAGTTTTTAATTCCCAAATTTTTGGAATTGCATTTTCGAGTATTCAAATTTTCAGATTTCCGTATTTCCAAACTTTCAAATTTTTCAATTTTTGAGTTTTCAAATGCCCGAATCCCCTACTCTCAAGTCTAGCAATATTTATGTATTCGAATTCTAAATTTTCAAGTAAAAGCTTAGATTCCTGTATCCTCAAACTTTTTCATTTACAAGTTACTAGGACCCAAATTCCTAGATACTTAAATCCCTAGGTCATCATATTTCTAAATTCTCAAGAATGATAATTTTTCAATCTTAACCCTAAATACTTATGTCCCGAAATCTCTACATCCCTAACTTCCTGTATCTTCCAGTTTCTATGTCCATAAATTTCTAGATGCCTACATTCGTATGTGCCCCAATTTCTCAAATCTCATGTTGGATAAATCCACAAATCCTTAAATCCCTAAGAACACATATTGGTAAGTTCACATTGGTTGGTCCGTATATTGGTAAGTTCCTAAATTTCTAGGCCTCCAGATATCTAGATTAACTACCTATACTGCAAAATAACTAAATTCCCATATCGTGAGGTCCCCAAATTTCAAGGTCCTTAAATTCATATGAGCGCTACCTATGTTGAATGCATTAAGAAATTGTTAAATCTCTGAAATATCTAAAAATAAAGGAGTAGGTCTAGGTTGTTATATTTTAAGAGAAGCCAGATTTGCTCCCGACTGTACACGCCCCGATTCGAACGAGGATGGAGCGATATCAAAAGGGAAAGAGGCAGAATGCAATACACACAGACACACACTGAGGGTCGAACGAGCCGACGTTTGCGTGTGTACGCGCGTGTATTCGCGCGGAACTAGGAAAAGGGTGAGAGGAGAGGCGAGAGAAATTTGCGCGGCTTAATAATATAAATGCCAGGCACACGAATTACTGGCGAGTGACTGAATTGCGCTAATTTTAATTGTACCCTTTCCCTCCTTCCGTCTTCCGTAGCCCCATCGCCACCCTCTCATCTCCGCTCGATCTCTCGAACCACCCCCTTTTTCGTCAACTCTTTTCAACGCTTCTATGCGTCATGTCGCCGTGGCGTTCCCGCATCTTTTTTTCCCGCCTTTCGCTGTCCTTTTCCGTGAAACGAGAGTACGACCTCGCGACCATCATCCAATTTTATTTGATTTCGTCGTCAAAAGCCGGAAACGCATAAATTATCAGCTGAACGGGAAATCACGATTCAGCACCGCTGCCGGTAATCACGTATCCGGCGTATTAACGAGCCGCACGTTCGATCGGCCGGATTGCATCGATGAAAATTTTGTTATTTCTGTTGCAAAGGCTCGTCTATCGAGGACCGTACTTCAATTTGTGCTATTATACGATCGGGGAGGGGAGTTGGAAATTTGGTCGCGTTCTACGATATTGGGATCTTTGAAAGAGGGTTGTTTGCGCGGAATGGGTTTATGGTCGGTGGACAATATTAGTTGGATTCGTCGCCGATTGATTATTTCATTCACGATGTAGTACGTTTTATTGGCATTTCGACGTTTAATGGACTAATTTTTCATTCTTTGTGGGAACAATTTTGCTGATCGAGCGGAGTTTTGGTATGCTCGTTCAACCCTTCAATTTACGGATTATTTAACTGTTATGGACGAAATATACATTTTATTTTTATTACTGTTATTATATTTAATCATTATTTTACCATTATTAAAATACTAAGTTTGAAAGATGACTAAAGAGTATCTTATATTAATAATGATAAAATAGTATAATTATATATTATATTACTTCGATAGAAATTAAGTGAGGTTAGATGTGTCTCTTCTGCATATAAGAATAACTTCTTATTTCACCTTTTATTCGGTATTTGAATAATTTTGTATAATTCCAATACTATCTGACCTTTCTGCCTTAACATATTAAATATGAAAATATTTCGAGATTGTTTTCGAATGCAAAGATAGTAAGAATATAAGGCTATGCTGTCGCCATCTACTGTTGTGAAGAAGTGTTCTTTTGATATAATGCTAGATTTACTCCCATATGGATGTCTTTTTGTAAGTGTACGAAAAATGAACAAAAATTGAATTACGTTATAAAAGTCTACAAACTTTGCATTTTTTAACTTAATAAAACTTGTCGTTAAAATGAAATATTACACCAAGTATATATTCAGGGGATATGTATAATTATTCAAATTTAATCAAAGTCGGAATATGTTATAATAAGTATTTATTTGTTATCAATGTAAGCAATGTCTATAAAAATTAATGTCAATATTTAAGCAATATTCAAATTTCATTAAATACAAGTTTCATACAACAAGTATAATACAAGTAGGATGGGAGCAAGAAGATGAGAAACGGATTAAAGTTATAGTAAGTATTTTAATAAATTGAAAGGAATACAAAATTTAATATATTGATGATAGTTCACGTTTCTACGGTTCGGCCAAGACTAGACTGTCCTTTCGACGCTGTCGCGTTTTTTTATACTACGCATTTACACTCTTTTGTTTCACACTCGTACATCACACACATTCATACCACGCAAAAATTAATTCCCCTTTACCGAATCCCACATACATATGTAGGAATATATACATACATAGGATGCATACAACAAGTATTTAAGTTTCAATAAAATCATACAATTTGTATACATATACATACATAGGAATATGCACATAGGGTGCACATTAGATAAAAATCAGAAATATGTACAAGTATTCGTATTTCATAAAAATGAGGAGTATGTAAGTGCAGGTACTTAAGTTTTATGAAAATCAGGAATATATAGAAGTGATGGTAATCGGTATTAAGCAACTCGTTGGGGAAAATCAGCGGGACAATAGTAAAAAGTTCCCAGGAGCAGCCACGAACGGAACGTTTGGCGTATTCGAAATAAAATAACGAGTATTAATCGCGAAATGGGGACAACATATTTCGCTCGAACGCTCGGGGCAGCTGGAACGGGCGGTGCAATTTTCATAAAATCGTGGTCGTACCGGGCTGAAACCCTCTTCGCTCCTGTTCGTACCGCCCTCCTCGTTCGCCGTCGAGCTCGTTCGAAAAAGTAATACGAATGCACGCGTTCCGTTTCGAGTTTGGGAGCAATGCCAGCGACTGTTCTATGCCCGTGCGCCCGTGTGCCCGCGATACATATGATACTGGCACGTCTGGCGCGATTCGCGGCGTGATAACTCGACGCTATAATAGATGTCATCGTATAGTCATTCTTAAAGGAACTCCTTTTATTTCGATGTGGAATCACATATCCGCTCGAAGTGGACGTAAATCGAGAGAAAATCTTACCCTCCACGACCATAATCTCTGCCAAACCAACAGGCATCTGCTCGTAAGGAAATCTTAATTTGAATAGCGTACGTTTACATCCTTTCATTAAATTAGATTGGGAAACGTTTGAAGACTCGCTCTGCCGGGTTGTAGATTGTGATTCGTTTGTTTTCTTCTCGTTGAACTTTTGTGTTTAATAACTGCGATTATGGTTGCGCGCGCAGTAGGGTGCGATGCGTGCCACGGCTGGAGTATTTTGAGTAGTTTAGACTATGTTTTGGTGGAGACTGATAGTTGAGGGGTTCAAAAAATATTTTATGGACATTTATTCTGAAATTGCTAAATCTACAATTTTGAACATTTTTTAAGTTTCAAATTTTAAAATGTGTAAATTTCTAAATTTCTGGGTTTGGGGAATTTTAAATTCACAAAGTTACTGAAATGTTTACATTTCTAAATTCCCAGGATTACAAACCTCTAAATAAACTTTGATGCTTCCAAATTCTAAAATGTTAAATTGTCGAAACTTTCCCGTTTACAAACTTCTAAATTTCTAAATTTCTAAAATAATTTCTATATTTAATACTTTCATGCTTCGTAAAGGGTGTAATTGTTCAATTTCATACATTGATAGTGCTGTATTTTATGGAGGATTAATTTTCTATATTATTTTTATGTATGTACTTTTTTTATAATTTTTGTTCATCGTATACATACAGGGCATTTATTATAATGAATTTTGTGCACTGCGTTGGAAATATCTTCAATATTTATTTTGTCCCCTTTATATCATCGTTGTTCTTACAATTTATTATAATTTCATAATGGTTTACAATTATTACATTATCACTTCAATGCAAAGACTAAATACGCTCTCATTAACATTTTCTGAGATGATGTTTCAAAGGTTAGAAAGAAAATTAATCTAATTGTTTATATAATCATAAATCCATCAAATAAACAAATTTCAAGTTATTGATATACGGGCAAAATATATATTTTTGTATGTAAATATAAACAATAAATAAATATTGTTGTTCGTTGAATTCAAAAAAAGATTTGGACGTCTACATGTGTACCAATGTTTCAAGCAGATTAAAGGTGACTATTTAAATTACTAACGATATAGCAAAAAAGCTATCAATGTAAGTACTACATACAAATTACAGTGGTCAAAATAATTACTGTTCTTTCATGAAGCACCGAGATAATCCACGTGTAATTGCATAAATT